GCGTTGGTTGCCTCGCAGATGTGACATCCTCGATGTGCTCGTTGAACTCCTTCACAGTGGCGATGACTGGACGAGGTAGCAGGATCTCGTCCAAATTCGAGCTGCTATCCGACGTTTCACCAAAATGCCAATTTCCACGAATCAATGGTACAGGCAGCTTCGAACGCTGCATCGCGCCCCGAGAGATGCACATCGGAACCGGTGGTTTGTGGATATCAACAAGGGGGTCTCCCATAGCTTGTAGGCTTTGTGCGCGGGTAAAATGCCCTTCCACCAGTGCCATAATATGATCTGTGGCACTCAAAACGACTCGGCGGAGCAATCCCTTGCTCTGACTTGCAGGTAGGATGTGCACACGACATCCATTATGGAGCGGGATGTACCAAATATTATCTTTCAAGGTGTAACGAGTCACACCGGAAAATAGGGCAAGGGTCTCCTCTGGTACAAGTATCTCCTTCTTGTTCGAACTTTTCTTGGGATTTTTCCGGATATCGCGGTACACTTGGTCCAGAATGTCTTTAGTACCAAACCAAGCATTGTCGAAGAGCTTTGCTGAGCGAGCTTGGTATTTTTTCTTCATATATTCACGAAACCGTAACTTCTTTCGATCTCGAATCGATGTATTTCGTAAAAAGAGTTGTTTCTGCGTAGGAGGCGAAGGTTTGGCGTTCAGGGGTTTGTTGTGAAGTCGACCCTTCTGTATTCTCTTCGCTCTTGTTAACGCGAAGCCACGTGGTGGTATCCGAGGAGTGGCGTGTTCGGCATCTGCGAGCGAATTGACAGATTGTTTCTGGCCTGCGGAGAGCCGGCCTCCACCACTTTCATGTAAACCATCGGAGCCAAATTCCTTGTCCTTTATTTCAACATCATCTCCGACCACCGCGGGGGAACACTGCGGGTTTGAATCGTCGGGAGTCCGAGAGGAAGACCTCGAGGAAATCCATTGGCGCGAGTGTCGAGAAAGTGAAGGGTAAGGGCGGACTGCTGCGCAAAATTGTGAACCCGGAGTATGACCTATCCTCGCTGGAACATCAATCGGCTTCAGGGAAGATATCCGTCGACGTTGCAAAGCAGGCGCAACCCAGCGGGGATAGAGAAATAGAAGAGGCTCATCGGGACCAGTCGCGACAGTGTCCAAGACGGCAGACACACGCCTCCTTAGACACGGGCAGCCACGCAAGAGCATAAGGGACGATGCGCTAATGGCACCGGAGACATGAATGAAAAGGAGACAAGAATTGGGCGCGCTGAGGTGTTTTTCGATGGACCTTTTTGCCCCGAAAATTGCTGGCCGCCGAACGGGTAGGCGGTGGCCGGAGCTTGGCTCTGCCATATGAGCTATATACTTCGTTTTCTTCTCGAACAATATCTATTTTGCTTATATGGTGTTTTCATACATTAATAAATGTGACCTTCACGGTCAATTTCAGCAGCCTTGGGAATACCCCTGAAAACCCGGCCAATTGACCTCGCACGCTCCTCCAAGACCGGTCTCTTAGACATTAATGTATCATGCTTGGTCACCGGAGTCAAGTCTAACAATCCCGTTGCTGACTCTCCATGATCATCTTTAAAGACATCCGGACCGGTAATATGCTGCTTGCAGGATTCTGCGGCGCGGGTGAGATTATCCTTCTTGCGTTGGACTGCATCGGCGTCCTTATCAGAATCGGTGGAAGTTTTGGATAGCCCACGAATGACACGCGAAAGATATGTCACAAATTGCCAGCGGGAGGTCTGGAATAAGAACATGGGCATTATATCTGGTATCTGGTATCCGCAAAAGTAGGGTTAGCCTGGTCTCAACATAGATCAAGAAGATCGTCAAGCTCACTTTGTCGTTCAGATAATAGAGCTCGTCGCCCCCGTCCTCAATAAATTTCTTCAGTGCATCAATCCTCTCCCGGTCAATGGAAGCTAATTTCAAAGCATGCATCAAGCTGGGTATATCCCCAATCTCATCGACATGTGACTCCTCATCAACCGTCATGCTCGCCTGATTCAACCCAGATTCCACGCGGGAAAGTCCCGCAATGCTCTGGTCCCGAAGTCTGGCCTTGGACGAATGAATAGTGAAATAGTCCTCAGTAAGCATATGCGATTTCTCAAAGTCCGAGCGACCAAGGTTCCGCCGTTCATGGACCTTAGTCCGTAGTCTCACCCACCGTCTCCTCCGAACAAATGAATGAAACCACGGTTGGGTACCATGCCACGAAGACGAGGCAAACGAAAAAGAGTACTGCCAGCCTTGCTCGTCGGTATCACCTGACATGTCAACATACCATGTCTTCCACGCCCATTCCCAGCTCGGATCAGGCAGCTGGGCATTCGTGATATTAACAGGACTGGCTCTGCGGTCTTGGGTCATCCAGGCGCTGGGATCGAGGTTTAACAGCGAGCTATGCGAGTAACGTGGGACACCGAAGATGAACCAGCCCCGCTGGTTCTCGTAGAGAACGTCCATTTCCGAGCACGATTTGGTGTCCTTGTCCTCGCGGCTGTTGGTTTGGTCCCCTACTCCATTCGCCTGGCCACTGCCGTTGCTGTTATGAGTTGAGACTCGTGACGCCGCAAAGTCGGCTGTTTCAACATCTCTGCTCCCGCTGCCTTCTCCGGCAGAGCTTGCTGATATTGACTCTCCGCGCACCTGGGACGATTCTCGGCTTGGCGAGTCATTTGTGCCGGGCGCGATACCGAGTCTATCAGGTTGCCATTTTGCATATTTCCGCTTTGCAAGCTGTCCATGGACGGATGCCCGGCTCAGGTGTTTCGTCAGGCTTCCTTGTTGACTGAGGGTGGATGTGCGTGGTTGGAGTGCTTCGCCGGTGGGCTGCTGTGGGACGGTATTATCCACGAGGGAAATAGAAGGCGAGGTCTCCATGTTCTGTGTGAGGGTATATAAAGAGATATCCTAGATAGCGTTGAGGCGTCCCGATGGCTCCCCGAGCCAGAATGTTACTGAGTATGCTGTACTCGCATTATTTTAGGGGTCGTATCACAGTGAAAAGGGGGATATAAGAGGACACAAGATTGAAATATAGAGCTGTAGATCTGTAAAGCTGTAGAGTATTCTAACAAATAAACAAGTATTGAAGCATAAAACAAGAAACAATAGAGAAAAAAAGAAAGAAAAGCAAATGCAACATCGATGACATCGTTTGCGGGGATGACCTGAACGCCAAGCCCATTTCCTGCAACAAATCGCGGGAAACAAAAAAAAAAACATCAACAACCACAACCATGGCAGCACCACACTATCGAAAAGTCGAGCTCCAATCTCCAGCAGACTTCACCTACCTCTACGCCAACACAGTCGCGCTATCGCGCCGAAAACTCGACCTCTACTTCCCCCCTTCCGCAACAGACAATGACACGCCCGATCCGATGCGCGAACGCGTCCGGGAGCTAATCGACGAGGTAAGACCAGAACAACCAGCTACCTCAAAGACAAACTCTAATTTCAAATAGTACATAAACCAAACCTTCGAATCAGCCTCAACCTCAATCAGCATCAACGGCATAGACTCAACCTCACCACAATTCCCCTTCCCGGCCGCATTCACCGCGCCAACAGAACAAGTCGAGTACGAGCCATTCGATACAGAGCTTGCGTCGCGAGTGACATCGCTGTATGCGCAGTTAGAATCGCTTAATACGACTGTTGCGCAGCAGAGGCGGGATGCGCCGAGACGTGCGGCGAAGGAATATGCTGCGCAGTTGAAGAAGATGATTGAAGAGGAGCAAGAGGAATATGAGAATGAGAATGAAAATGAAGGAGGAAAAGACGCCGATAATGATACCGAGATGGGCGAATCTGCGAATGTGCAGCCACAATCGAATAATGAAATCCAAAACACAACTCCCGGCCAAGAGGCGGATGGTATGGATGTCGATTCTACCTCGGACAGAACTGGATCGGCGCAGACAAGGGCCCAGGCGCGATTGCGGCGAGCACGTGGGAACCACGATCCCGCGTGGACGTTGCAGGTTGCCCTTGGGACGAAGGAGGAGCAAGAGCGCTGGAAGAGTGGTGATATTGCGAGTGTCTATGAGGATGCTTTGCGGATGTTGCTGCGGTTGCAGGGCGAGGGCAACGTTAAGGAGGCTGGTGCGGAGGGTCATGCGTTGGCAACCACAGTGGGCAAGGCTGAGAGGGCTGGGCGTGCTGCTGAAGTGGTGGAGAATATGAATAACTGAGTATTTTGGGGTTCAATATTGGTTGACTAGCGTTCTCTTCTCTGTTATGCTTTTTCCCTTTATGTTTGGCTGCTTTTTCCCTTTATGTTTGGCTGCTATTTCAATGTTGGGGCGTTTCGGGACCCTAGGCTTGTCCCAGGGATCATGATACCATGTCTTGTTTATTCTTGATGGCTCTATTGAGTCGAAATCCTATCATCTTACATTTCTTCGGACTGAAATCTGTCTGGTATATCTTAGTAAAGGCAATATTGTTGCTTTGGTGACCTTCTGCTCCTACTGCTACCACCTCGCAATATGCATGACCCAACTTGTGTCCTAGACATGACAGTTACTGTTTCAATATGTGATCATTCGTGTATACATACTACCAACAAAGAAACAATTAAGTTAAGCACCATTTTCACACCAACTCGCTTTTAAATTTCATCACGTCCTGTCCCATCTATACTGAGAGCAGTGGCAGCACACGCTGCTTATCTTGATAGGCAAAAGCAAAAACAGAAGCAAGCTCTTCATGATATCTAGATCGGAGCAAAAAGGCAAAAGCGCAAACAGCGAATGTAGAGCAAGGAGTCCACAGACTGTGGATAGATCGGAGAAGCGGTGTTGAAACTACCGGAGAGATTCCGGTATGCCTGGGTTTAGGTTTGTGTTAGGAGTTGTCGGATCCTCAGACAGATTTTTGAGGTTTTCAAGTTGATCGGGGTTGAAAAGTAACCTCCAATATCCCTATCTGAGATTCTGTTTTCAGTCATGTAAAAGATATTTGTCGGCTCCAACAAAGGTCTCCAGCAAGCTTAAGCGCTAGTCTGAACACCCTCCTGACCCTCAACATCCTTCTTCTCATATCCGGGATCCTCATTCTGAACAACAGGTGCAGCAGCCTCCTTAGGGGCCTCCTCCTTGGCGGTAGCCCATTTAGGGGGACGAGCCCACTCAGCCTCCTTCCAGGGGCCCATATCGGAGAGCTCACAGCCGCCTTCACACTTGCAAGAGCCGCCGAACTCAACGGGCAAGTTCTCAGCAGGGACCTGAGACAGAAGTTCCTTCTGGTATCCGCTGCCGAGGACGTGGATCTTGCTGACGGTAACAGGGTCAAGGAAGCCCTTGACAGCGCTGAAGACGCTGCTGAAGCCCCATGGCGCGTTGATCAGGTAAAGCTTGCCCAGGCGCTCGGGGTAGTGGTTCTGCGAGATGTCGGAGGCCTGCTTGACGTATCCGTAGACCGATGGCACGCTGGTGATACCCACGCCCTTCAGGTCCATAACGGTGCAGCAGGTCTCGAGCAGCTTGCCGGCCTTGCGTGAGCAAGCGGGCAGACGGGGGTCAGCCAGCTTCTCGTATTCGGAGACCAGGTTCTGGAGCATGCGGTCGGCGGTGGTGATCTTGTACATCTGGTTCAAGTCGATCTTGCCCAACTTCTCGATGTAGACAGGACGGCCATCCTGTTTGGTGAGGTATTATGTCAGTAGTGCACGTGGAGAGAGAGGCCACGGCAAACCAACCTTATCAGTCTTGTGGTAGTACTGAGGGTAGAACTTGAAGACCTCCTCCTTCTCGGGGTAGTCGAAGCTGCGAGCCAGATCATCGGTGCCGAACTCTTTGCGCCACTTCTCGCTGGCAATGAACCTGGGATATCAAATTAGACCAATAGGCTTCAATGAAAGGCGGAAGCCAGAAGTCCAGGATAGAAAGCTTTGTGCCAACTTTCCAAGAAAAAAACATCAATGTCCTCCGGTGAGAATCGAGGAACGTACATAGTCTTGGCAGCCTCGACATCAAACTTGCGGGCACGCAGGAAACGCAAGAGGGTCAGCGTATCCAAACGCTCAGTGTAGCCGAGCTTCTCGAGCTCAGCGCGGAGCTGGTGCACCTTTGCATCCTGTTCGGGGGAGGTGTGGCCGGGGTGGCCAGGCTGCGCTTCGGGAGCGGTGGTGGGGAAGTCGTACTGGTCGTACTTGGGGTCGGTAGGCAGCTGGGATTCGGTGGCCGCCATTGTGATTGATGGGAGGTATATGATCGAGGGAGAAGAAGAGAGTGGTTGTTCTGGAAAAAGGGCGGGAGGCGGAGGGGTGGGGATTGGCGTAAGTGGCCACTTTAAAGAACAAAAAGCCTTAAGGATCGTCCACAGGTATTTCGGTACTATTTGAACAATAACAATAACAATGGAACTACTCAAATTGTTTGTTTTTTGTTTTTTTTTTTTTTTTCGGAGATTTACAGGGGCAAGACTATCATTTTGCAAGACTAGTTTGATGTCATTTCAGTCCAAAGGATATTGTATATAGCATATATAGGATGTCTATACGCCATACTCTGTATGTCTATACTCCGTAGCATTTCCTGGGATTCCAACTTCAAATCCGAATATATTTAGATATCCCAAAAGACATCAAAATGTTTCATTTGAGAAAAGGGGCAGAGGGGCAAACGTGGCGGTGTCGAGGTGTCAATGACCAATCCACTCTGCATGTGGGCACCATTCCACAGGCATATTAGGCATATTGGAAGGCAACCAGATGTTATATATCAGAATTCCATGAATTAATCTGCCTAGACACTCTGTAAATTCACATAACATACGGGTATTCAATTCAAATTCAGCATTCAGCATCGCAAATAGGCATTATTATACACAGCGCACGAAGACCAGGGCCTTGGCGGTGATGGAAAGACAAAGCAAGACATGCCGGGGGATTAAAGGACTCGAAGCCCCAATGAAACCGGGGAAGGGGGAAAAAAAACAAATGGCAACAACTATGCGCTGGGTATAGACATTGAAAGGATGAGGAGAGACATAGAAACAAGGCAAGCGTAATAGGAAAGCCAGGGGACACAAAAGGATATACCAAAATCACAGGATCATCGACGTCCCCCCTACCAGCGGGGAGATGGCCTTGATCATTCTCCATTAAGAGTATGTTCGTGTGTCAGCAACATTCACAAAGGGCATTCGCCCGAACTGCATATAGATTGCAGTCATCGCGGAGAGCAGTCACTTAATCCATTATTTGGGATGGGGAGCGATGAATGGCATGACATATATTGGCGTGCATCATCGCAAAATTAAGCGCCTGGGGTACGGTCGATCGTATAGTAGAAAAAAGAACCGGACCAGACAGAGCAAATGTGGGGGAGCTGCTCGAGCTCATCATTCATCAAAGGGTGGCATTGGGGAGCCTGGAGCATATAGCGCCCTTACCACCCCTTCTTTCGTGCAAATCGTTTGTTTAGGAGCGTAAGCACCTTGGTGACGTTGAACTGGACATATTCCAGGTCGAGGTCCTCAAGATTGTCCTTTTGCATCTCCAGGAGATCGTCCAGCTTGAGATCAAGCTCCAGTAGTCCACGAGCTCGTCCTATGTAATATGTTAGCAATGATGTTCCTTTTTGTCCCGATTAAATCTATGTACTCACCCTTATAGTGCAGACTGATGACAAAGGTGCCTGGTAAGGGACTTTTGAACATAAAGTAGATGTTCGCACGTCGGTTTTCTGGGACATTGCTGCGTCGGATGACACCCTCCTTCTCCAGCTGCTGATGGGTGAACTTATACGGACCAAGTTCCTGGTTCTTCGGGGTCTTGCCGCCGCGGGTTTTGCCTTCGGACTGACTGCGCACGTTGTGGAGGTAAGATTTGTATGTCTCCAGCTGACCGACCAAGTAAGCGTTGTGGTCGCGAATAGTCGCGAAAACCTCCTCGAGTTTCCGGGTCTCTTCTAGGACCTTCTCCTTGAGGGAGCCCAAGTGCACCAGCTCCTGCTCTACTTCGTCACGAAGCAAGCTGAACTCATCGGAGCGGTCAATCACTCCCATGTCTTGTAGTTGGCTGAGGAGTTCCATGGTTCGGATGCCCTTGCGCACCATCACGGCATCATTTTTCAAGGTTGCTGCGGCCTCGGCAATGCGGTCGAGGCGTAAAGGTCGGCGCGCAACTGAAGTGTTCTGAGGCAGTGATCGCAGGATCTGAACAAAGGTTGACTTGGCCTCCATGAAGAATACTTCTTCTTGGGTGATATCCAGAGCGGCTGTCAGGTCGTCAAGAGCAGTCTCCCATTTACTGAACAAAGGCACGGTAATGGTTCGGTTCTCCTTGCGGGGAACCTGAGGGGGGGCACCGCCCAATTCTTGGAGTAGTACCGACAGGTGCGAATATTGGTCTTGAGCAAGCGCTCCACTGTGTTTCTCCAGAAGGCCGTGCATGACGTACATTTCATTGAGAGTGATCTGAAGCTCAAGGTCCCGTTTCGACAAGGCCACATAGTTGTCCATTTCAAGACTTTCATAGAAATCCTGAACTTCACACAGATCAAGCAGGAACTTGTTGACACGTTCTTTGTTCTGTTGGATAAAGGGCTGCAGGCTGGCCATGTAAGGCTCTTTGGCGTAAGAAGGCTTGTTGGCTAAGTTCTGAATCATCTTGGCGATCAGGGTCAGGGTACGGCGAGGCTTGTCCGTGGGAGTGGCATCGATCAGCATGTAGGAGCGAGGAGTAACGATTGCCGGGTTGATAAAGCGCAGAAAGAAGAAACCACCAATAAGAGTACAGATGGTCTGGTCCTGGGCATCTGGATACTTTCTGCGTGACAGACTGCGAATCTGCTTACAGATCCATCTAATACCATAGGGAGCCTCGTCTACGGAGTCAATGATGGTTGTGATGAATCCGTTCGCGATATCCGTCAGCATCTTTAAACGCGGGGCAATGATGGCTTGCACCTGCGCATTGTCGGCAGCATCTTCGGCAGTGACTGATCGGGCCAAGTAATCCGGAAGGGAGCCGGTTTCTTCTTCGATCTGCTTAATCATGCTTTCATATACCTTCAGGGGGTTGATCTCCAGATCCACGTCTCGCAACTCAATCAAAGCGTTGATCTGGTCTGCTAGCACTTGCTTTAGATAACTCTGGCCGGGGCCACGGCGTGTGTATGTGGTCATCATGCGAGAAACTGGGGTGTTTTGGCGCAACAAGGATGAATACTCCGGTGTGTTATCAAACTGGTAGGTGAGGACGGACTGGAACATAGTAAGCAGGAGATGCTCTTCGCGACTCTCGTACTGGTTTCCGTAGATGGTGAACATGACGGTCTGAAGGAGGGAATCGATCTCGGCCATGGAAACGAGTCGGCAGAGGTGGGCGATGTGACGGGGTTCTGATTGCAGGAGGAAAAGAAGATTGCCGTATTTCTGGGTTCGTTCATCGTTCGGAAAGAAACCTTCCTGCGGATCTGCGGTATCGTCGAGATGGCTGGCGACTTCATTTTGCTAAACAGAGAATAGGTTAGTGACTATACAGTATGTCCGATTTCCGTATAAATGGAATCCTTACTTCTTCCAACGCCATTCGATTCTGGATAAGCAACGCGATTCGCGAATCCAGGTATCGCACATCTTTTTCTAATACGAAGTTCTTTTTCGATTGTGATGAAATCCTCGATTTTAAATCGCGTAGGTGCTTTTGTGCTGTTGGAGAATTAGCGCGACCAAATGTAAGAAACGCGAATTTAACGTACCTCGTGCTAAATCATCAGAAATCTCCAAGTCGCGATCTTTGGCGGACATAGAAAGGTACAAGGCTGTGACCGACATCCGCTTAGATTGGCGGAGCGACCGAGTATCGTGCGACGACATTGTGTTCTGTCGTGCCACGGGCTGAAACGAGGAGGAAGAGGAGGAGGAAGCCCGCGACTGTCTTGCAGGTTGAAGCATTGTCGCTACGGACATTGTGAAAGGGTCAAAGTTGGAACCCGAGAAAAAGAGATGGGGTTTCAACGAGTAAAAAGGGAAAAGAGGGGAGACCAACAGATTAAAGGTAAAGAGGGGAGATTATTTATTTCATTTTTACTGGGGAACAATGTGGATTTTTTTCTAATTTTTTTGATTATTATTTTTTTTATATTACTTATTAAATATTTCTATATAAAATAAAAGAAAAAGAAAGTAAAATAGGAATGATACGTATCTTGTTATGCAAGGGTCTACTTTTTTTTTTTACCCCTGGCCCAACTTCGCCACTCCTAGGAACAACCCTTTTTTTTTTTGTATATCAATTTGGTGCCCACTTTACTTAATTACTTACAACATACAATCTTGACGTCAGATCTGTTCTTTTTCTTGGAAAAAAAAAGCCAAAATATTAAGATCAACATAAAAATATAGAACATAAAATATAAAAAATAGGTATTACAGGAAGGTAACACGGTTTCATGTCTGCAGGGGCTAAAATCGGTACCTGCGTGTAAAAAAGACTTGGGACTTGGACTATTCAGGCTAAGCCCACGAGACCTCCATGTGGATGTCTCGGGAATGCTATATAATCTATAATATGGAGATATGGATTTCTTGAACTACTCAAGTTTCAAATTAATTTGGATCGTAGTTAATTAAAAATTTCCTCTACCATGGCATGTGTTATTAACATCTTTAGTTTAGTATTTACAATATTTAGTATTTAGTATTTAGTATTTAGTACTTAGTACTTATTCAGTACTTCTGCTTATAGTCATACCACCTAAGTACATATGGAGTACTCCGTACTCCATATATTATGTGCATATTGTCTCAGACTCCGCATCCGAGTTTAAAATTTATCTCTCCCGGGTCGAACCGATGGAATGGTTACCAATTAACTGGGACCTTTGACTATATATAAGTAAACATATGTAATAAATATCCAATATCAGATATCAAAAGCCATCACATAATACAATATATACTAATTAATATGGCAAACTATGCGGGGTGCACTGAATCCACACTTTTTTTTTAAAAGTTCAAGATTTCTGGTCTATGCTTTTTTTTTCAGGGGCAATGGAAGTGGAGTCGGTGGGGGAGAGATCATGATTTCCCCTTATCAATGCATATATAACGATGCATCTATACAGATGTAGACAATGCATTTAAGATTACAGCATGTCAATATGAGTGAATACATAAATTGGCGTAATAACTTCATATCTTAATAACTTGGGCCAAATATCATTCTCATCCGATTC